TTAGACTGTGTCGAACCGTTTGCGGTGATAAAGCTGATCGGTTGATCTGTGCTCCGCCTATTGTAAGCTCCGACTTGGGACAACATGGACTCACTGATCAGGTCCTGCTCGCTCCCAGAGTCGATGAGCCATTGATGGCGACCTTTTGGCGCAGGCGTAGCGAGAACTGGTGGCATCAACACAGTATTGATCTTGCATGGTGCTAGCAGATTTCTACAACACTTGCAAGTCAGACTTTCAAGGTCATCAACACAATTGAAACCACATGATGGTTGAACCGAGTTCCCGAACTGCTTTACAGTCTCTTGCAGTTTTCTAGCTGCTGTTTTGGCATTCAACACATGGATTGGATCCATCTTCTTTGCTGCTTCGGCAGTAGTGAGGACGTTGTCGTACTCCCTGGGACGATGGATAACTGGGTTGCATCGGCCATGGGCATTTATCTTCTTTACTGCTACCCTTTTATCGAAGGTGACATGTTTCTCATTCTGCGTTGCCCTTTCTTTTGTTGGGCTTCGATACGAACCGAGCTTGCGGCGAGTAGCACTGCATGCATAGCTCGAACGAACACAGGGAGTAGCCGACTTTTTCGGCTTTGCCTCCTTCTTGGGCTTCGGAGAATTTGGCCGAGCTGGGTCCTTTGGAGCAGCTGCACTCTTCTTTTCATGCAGGTACAGACACTTGTCCCCACGGCGGCAATCACCACGTGCAAAGTAAATGCATGGGGTCTTTGCCATCTCTTCTTTGTTGATCTTTTTCTTCGGGTCACGACTAGGTGCACGAGGCGTTCTTTGCCTTGAAGGTGACCTATCCTTCTTGTCGCGGCGATATAGGCAGTCCTTTCCCTTTGCGCACTTCCCTTTTGCGAAGTCCCTGCATGGAATCTTCTTTTTGTCAGGAGTTCTTCCCCTTGGGGGTGTCTTCTCCCTCTTGGCTGGGGGCACAACGGGTAATCCTGCCCTGTCTTTGGGATTGTTCGGCTTTGGCTGATTCTTGTCGACGATTCGATCTCGATTCTCCCTAAGCCTTTCACGGTCGATCAGGTCTCGGATGGCTTTCACAAGGAACGAATACGTTTTACTTGGATCACCTTCCTTTGCCCGATCATAGGTGTCAATATCATACTTGAGTAGCGTGCTGGGGCGGATCTGACGGAGCAAAACATCACGAAGGACTGTTTCTTCGGGCTCCTTCTTCATACCGGCCAACACTGCATCCCAACGATTGATGAATTTCTTGAGGTCAGCAATTGTATCTCCAAACTTCGCTACCTTTAAAAGGTCTTCTAGTGAGTAGAGAGTACCTGCTTCCTCAGACGTTTTGAAGTAGTCATCAAACATGAGAAGTACTGTTCGACCCCTGGTTTGATTTCCTTTCTTCGCTTGCTCTTCCTTATGGTTAAGGATTCTATTTCCCAGGTCGCCGCGGGCTGACTTAGTGAGAGCAGCGGTGAGCTTCGTGTCCAAGGTCACGAACTTTCCTGGGTTTTGGAGCTTTGCCTCGAGTTCAGCACGTGAGGGTTTTGGATCCCAAACCTCCATTATCCACTCCCATGCTTCATCGGGCTTGTCGGACGACGATCGGACAAGCTCACGGACCAGATTCTTCCATTGACGGTAAGTCTCGGGCGTGGGCATGTCCGGTATGGCAATCGCATCGGCTTCTTTGACCCTTGGCTTGCCTTCATCGTCTTTCTTGGACTTCATTTCTCTGAGTAGTTCCGCGAGACCACTCATCAGCGCGGTGGCATCACCTGAAGAAGCCGGGACTTTGCCTTCGACTCCTCCGTCGCCAACGTGAGACATACGTTCGTCGGCCGTTTCACGAGCATCGACGAATTGTTCGTCCTTGCCTTGGGCAGGCTCCGACGCTGCAAGGAGTGGTGCTTTCGCAGTCGCTCTCGATGGATAGAAATCACCGAGTTTCTGGGCAAACTTTGCGTCTAGCCTTGCCTTCCAATCGATCTCTATCGGTTGGGGCAAAGCCTCGCGGCCTGCCGTTTCGGACAGCACTGGCGTTGCTGTACCAGGCAGGTGTTGCGGCGCTTCAGCTTCATGCCCTGGGATCAATCCATCGAGTTGGTCTTGCAGTAGTGCATTGGTCTCTGATGCCTTTTGCAATTCCTGTTCAAGACGTTCTTTCTGCTCATTCCACTCGGTCTCCATACTTTGGTGTTGCCTACGTTCTTCTTCAAGGAGTGCTCTAGCTTTGTTAGATGCATCCTCTACCATTTTCTCGAACATAGATTCCAGCTCCCTCATCTTATCGTTCATCTTCTGTATGTGAAGTTTCTCCGCTTCTGCCTTCTGCTCCGACATTCTCTTTTGATGTAGACTGTCTGCACTAGCGACCTTGGCCTGACTTTCAGCCAACTGTCCTTCTAGTAAGTTGATTCGGCCTTGCATGGCCAGAATCTGCTTATTGCAGACTTCCCTTGCTTGATCGATTGCAACCCTACATTGCGAGCCTAAGGCTTGAATCGTTGATTGCATGATCTCTCGGTGTCTTTGCTCTGCTTCGAAGCGAACGGCTTCCTCATTTCCTGAGGCAATCTGGTGAACATTGTTCTGAATGAACTGGAAATATGCTGTGACGCCTTCGGATCCCATGACAACGTCTTCGGGCACGAGGTTGCCCCCGGCGGCCTGTGTAGCATCGCCGGCGTATGGGATGAGGGCGAGCGCGGCATTCACACCATCGTCTGTAGCCATGGCAGAGGCTACGGCTGATAACCTGTATTTTCAGGCTCAACCACTAAAATACAGTCAAATTCCGCTAAGCTGCAACTGCTAGCGCTCCTTTTTGTCGCGATGAGCTGCGCGCTTGAGCCAAGAATTGGCATGGTGCGTAAAAGCTTAGCTTTAGGTGATGTATTTCAACATGTTGCAAGCAGTTGCAAGTGTCCTTTCACTGTCCTGTGGTGGATGAGCCCCTCATTGATTGGGCAATAGGGTGTGTACTGTTCGATGTTTGGCCAATGCACTGGGCTTGCCACGACCGACTTCTTAAAGGTCATCCCATCGCATATCCACTCCAAATATTGCACACCCTCACCCAAGCTTTTGATTATTTCTTGCAAACATCTTTTCATGGTCCTCTGGTCGCCTACCCTGCTGCTCCTTTCACTGGTCTACCTTTCCTTCCATTGTTCACTTGGAATATTTGCTTCATCACATGCTTTCTTTTTGACCCCGTCGAATATTGTTTTATTGATGCTGTACTTATTTTTTGATCCCCCACTCACACGGTTGAGAGTTGCCACAGCTACGCTATTCATACTTTAAGTTTCCTTTAACAAGTTTAACTGATTTCTATTTCTATTAAAAATACTTTTTTGCTAAAAGAAGCGAACAGTTACAGTAATTACTAGTGTGGGTTCAGAAGAAACCTTAAATAATATGCTTTAGTGACTTCTATTAATGCTCTCAGGGTCACTTGCATCACGTGCGACATCTGCGCGACAACCAAAATCCTAACTCTTGGAGGAGGCTCGGAATAGAGTCAGGCACAACTCAACCCAATCCTCGTGCCAGCTATCAACACAGGGCGATGCAGCTCGGGGCATGTTGCGGGTCTTTCGCGAAAATTCACTGGTGATTTCCCTCCTGGGATAACATGTCCAAACACCTGCACAACCCGTGAGAGCTGCGGGTCGTTGCCTCACAGTCAGGGCTGTGCAAGGACAAGTTATATAAGTTGCCAGGATGCTAGTCTGTGAGAGCGGGGACAGGAATCGGAGGATCCTTTATGCACTGCGAGGGTGGGCAAGGAAACGTTGAGGCTTCAGTTCGCTTGCTAGTTTGTGACAATGGGGACATGGGGACACTTCCGCCCACCGGCTGTGCCGAGGATTGCCTTGTATTCACAGGCTTCGCACACGGGCGATGGCCACGGGAAGGATGGTTCAAGCGTGGACGTCTAGAGTTACGCAACTCAGAGTGGCAAAAGTAAAATCCTTTCGCAAACACTGCTCAGTCAGCGCTTGCGCTTCCCCAGGGCATGACAGTAGCTGTGCAAAACAATGTGACGACAACTCCTAGTTCTGCGATATTTGCATGCGGTTGTGCGACGTTGAGATGCAAAACACCGGTTATGACATGCAAAAAACACCAAACACTGTGAAACACGGAAACACGATGCGTTCCTAGCTGCAACTTGAAAGAAACATTGGTGGCAACTTCTGCCAAAACTGCGTAAAGGCGTAAAAACCCTTGTTCTTGAAGAGGCGTCTGCCGAAAACATCGTAAACGCCGACGTTTTCAGCTGCTCTAGGCTTAAAACGTGCTTGAAACCACGCTCTTGCGCAGCTTTGTGCGCCTCTGTATGTCAAGTGCTCAAAACCGCGGTATTTACGAAGTTGTTTGATCGTTGTGCTAAAAAAGCACAACGGTCCTCACACACGCACCTTCAGAGGCGTCGGTATTTATGCATTGTTTGCCGCATTGCAACACATGTTCGGGTGGTCAAAATTTGCAAAAACACTGTAATTTACATGGCGCGTGCCAAAAAACAATTTCGTGCCTTAAAGGGCCCAAATTCTGCCTCCTTCCAGATCCAAGATCTTTTGTCGAAGTTCCATGCTTTTTAGTGATTTTTTCCAGCCCCCTTTGTGGCGAAAAAAATGCCTCTCCCCCCCCCCAATTCGAAGATTTTGATGTGCTTCTCCTTCTTCCGATCTTTGAATCGCTCAAAATGCAAAAACGGATCGAAATGCAGGCGAGAACATCGGTTTTGTAAGAGTCAGGGTCGGCGGCAGGGGACGCACCCGGGGTAGGCAAGCTAGACTTGTTACGCACGGATTTCTACCACTTGTCGGTCGGTAGAATGCGAAGACCTTCGATATTTCTCTCGCGAAAAAAAAAGTACGCGAACCTCATCGCGAATCTTTCGCGGATGGTTTTAACAACACCTGAAACGCTGTATTAATCTGTTTTAATAAAGCTCCTTACATGGGGGTTCGGGTTTAGGTCTGTAGTCAAAGTATTGCTGCGGCCCTGTGCCTTCCGGTCAATCTCCCTGTAAAGGCTTTCAGCCTCATCAAAACGCTGGAAGTAGGCAGCCACCTGCGCACAATTACCCCAATCAGCCCACCAGTTGGCATGTCCTTTGCGAGTAATATTCGAGTTGTCCATTCCTTTCAGAACCCACTGTACCGGTGGGTAATACAAGTATGTAAGCATATAGAGTAGTATGGATGTCTGCATGTTTGCGGATATGACTGTGTCCGCCTATTGGTCAACTTGAACCAAGCACAAACACAAAAAAACTGGTTCCCTCAACTACGATCCATTGCCTTAGTCCCTATCTTACTTTATCTGGTCATGCATATATATATATATTATATGCGTGTGATTACAGTACAAGGAAATGAATGCAAAGGTGCACATGCTCATATTCTGACATGCATCCCCACTTGGTAAAAGACTAGAAACCAAGAAACAACTAAATCTACGCGGTCGGGAATAAAGACAGCTGAGTGCATTATATAAACCTGCTTGAACAGCAAGAGCTATGAAAGCGCTATGAAAGCTCATCTGTGATCCCTATTCCATGGCCCATAGTCCTTCGTTATGCAGCAAGATGATCTGAACAACAATATGTTATGTTGATGAAAAAATGTTAGATTTGTACCGTATATAGTAGAGAGAGAGAGAGAGAAAAAAAAAATCATTCCGCCCACTAAATCTAATATATGCAAACTTAGCACAATCATGTCCGCCCATACAGCTTAAGACAACGACAAAAGGCCATGACAACCAAATGAGAAATTGCCCAACAAAGGTTGAAAAGCTAAGTTCCAAAAAATCTAGGAACCAAATCATTAGTGCGAGCGCTTCTTCAAGGAAGCTTCCCCCGCCGCCTTTAGGGCGGCGGGGGGAGCTTCCTTGAAGAAGCGTGAGCTATCCTGCGTCCAAGGTGGTAGCGTTCTTGTAGCTATTTGCTACCTAGCGACCTCCGAGGCCTAAAAAAAAGTAAAACTCCTAACTGCTGATCTACCTTTGATTCTTTTTGTGTTCGTTTGTTTGTGGCACCTGGCCTCTGCTTTCTGCTTCACCCGGTCATCAAGCAATCGCAGGCGTTTTACCAGTTGAATTCCCTGCATTTGTGCAACAGTCTGTGCTAACAGTCTTTGCTAACAGTCTGTGCTAACTTCGAAGGGGCTAACAAAACGAAACAATCACACACCACAATGGGTGTACTCCCATATATTTCATCAACTGGCACCACAAGTCTATTCACACGATTTGTCAAAGAGATGTCCCATCTGTTTGCAGATCTGATCTGTCTTGATCGACAAGCAGTGAATGCAAGCCGGCCAAAGCTTGCCTGGTAGTCCTCGAAGCGGACAAAGGCTTTCTCCGCCACACTGAACTCTAGTTGCTCGAGAGCTGCCTCTGCCAAAAGCCTTCAGAAAATGCATCTCTCTAGATTGCTACAGTTGCACTCTGCCGTGTTCTCTTAAGCTTTGGATGATAGGTTGTCAGCCAGGAAACTGTTTGTACTTCTTGGCAACAAACAATGTATGTGTACAGTATATATATACAGTATACAGTATACATATTTCACAAAATTGACAGCCATTGATCTGCGACTCATCGATTTTATTTAGACTGCTTACAATCCCCAGTGAGTGTGGGGTATGAACTCGTACAAACCCTGAAAAGTGCAAACCCAAACATGCTATAGATTCGGAGAGAATGTCTACACTGAATTGCCATTGACAGTCACTTAGCCCCCAGGGTCCGCACAGGGTCCACCAGTCCACCAGTGTTCCCGCTGTATTATCAGCACATCTAGAGGCCACATTGAGCGTGTTGATGTACAGCAATGTGCTTTGGGTTGGAGGCCATTGCTATTACGAGTAGTAACGTGCTTTGGAGTACGCGAGTGCGTATATTTAGACAAACCCAGCGATGATGGGGCCAATTCGTGCCTCCAAAGTCTCGGATGCGGATTGGCATCAACCTGAGTCAAGGTTGGTTGCGATGTTCCAGGATTGCTTCAGCACTAAGCTTGCTGAGATTAGTACATAGTTGAAGGCATCTTTCAGATTGGAGACCTCAAGAAGAAGACATAGCTTCAAGCGAAACGGAGCACCTCACTCTCGATAGAATGAAGCCCGGCCTTGGTCAGAATATCCCTTGTGTCTCTTAGGCTCTTCGTCTCAAAGTCTAGAAGCACCTGCATACGATGAAGGTTGGGAGCTAGTAAATCTCCAAAGCTGTCCAAGCAAACCCTTTTGAGAAAGGAGGATTGAAAACAGCATCTTGGCAAGCTCCATCCCCAGGTCCCAACCTCTTTTCGAGGATTTTCAGGGTTCTGGATGACCTGCAAGCACGCCAAATATCTCCAAATCGCAAATGCAAAGAAGCAATTATGCTGCCGCCTCCGGTGCTAGCAACTATAATATATGTAGGAATAACCAGGAGTAACCCATCAAGCCTCGTCTATAAGCACACTTTGAATCTGAAGATCCTTAAAAGCACATATGTACGCGTTGGAGAGGACAGGCTCCTGGAACGGGTGACACGGTCTCGTTTTTCTGTACCTTCCCTTGTAGCTGTGGTTGCAACAAGGAGGATGAATGTCAAAAGTCAAGACTCTCAACTGACGATGATGACTTTTCTTTGCGCAATGCTAGTATGTCAAATGATATGATGACCCCATAGAAAAACTCACAAAGGGACAAACATGAACGCCAAAGAGCACACGTCGTGTATGAAGAGTATGTGACTCTCCTCTGGCTGCAGACCGCGAACCTCAAGATCATGCTGATTTCTTGATTCGATGCTTGTCTCCATCTCTCACGAATATATGAACCAATCATGACTTTTGTTGTTGGCCTCTACATAACTTTTACGTGACTACGCCCTACACAGTGCCGAAGATCTGAAGGGTTTTTCCAATCTTTGCGTTTGGCCTGCTCACACCAATTCCTCTTTCCCAAGGGAAAAAGAACTATATACTGCATTTAGAATCTAAAGTAGAAACATTATCGTGTATAAAGGTCGCGCCATGGCCACAACCTACTAGGAAAGATACGAACACAACCACCGGGTGATTGGAAGCATGATTGTCAAGCAGTATACAGACGAGTGGCAATATACATACGGGTCTTCTCCATGATGGCAAAAAGGTCAGGATTGTCTGTTGCCCATCTCATGTTCCAGACCTTGGCATAGTTGGGACGGGTGATGGAATCGGCGACTGCGTTCTTGAGTATGAGCAGGCTGCATCTTTTCTTTCAAAGTCCAGCTGTTTTCCAGGTCCATCCTGCAGCTCGCTAGACCAATGAAAGGATCAAGTGCTTAAACTTGCGGCAAGCATTTCTGCATGAATCAACCGAGAAGGCTGATAAATTTGGACATCCAAACCCAAGCAAGCAGAATATGAAAAGCTAGGTGGCGGTCAAAGACATTTACAGCTTGGATTACCCAAACAGCCAGGCTTCTGATCAACCTTTCTGTACGCTGCTGGTAGGACAGGTGACTGCATCAACGGCAAAGCTCTGCAAATCTGGCCAGAGCATTTTGTTCCGCTCCACAGCAGGTTTCATGTGCTCTGCACCCAAAAGCCGAGACAGGATCTGTGATTCCGTTTCATATCATGCCAAAGTTTGGAAACAATTGATCTGATCGTGTATCTCTTACTGAAAGGTAAAATTACACAACACAAAAAGGATTTGGTGGGCTGTGAATGCTTGACAGTTCGAATACAAGCTGAAAAGTAGCTTGGCAGGATTGTCGGCTAAGAGACGTCCACCCATCTTCACCCTCAAGGGTGTGGGTTTATGCTGCAACAGGCATGACCTTAGAAGGTTGATCCACTACGCTTGCATGTACAATGAAAACCATCCATCCAGAATTGAACTTACTGAGATTTCACCACAGTTGGCAAAGGGTTGACGGTCAATGCTTTCAAACCCCGGGTTCCCTTCAAACAAAAATAATATGTGAGCTTTTTTGAGCACAGTACTGGGTTTGTCTTCAGCTGGATCAGCAAGGACCTGCAAAAGCTGAAAGTGTCAAAAAGGGGAAGTACTTGTGTGCGTCCTGGGCAAATCAAGCCGCTGCGGAAGCGATTTTCAGCGTTCAATCATATTTGAAGTAACCCATGTTGGCCTGAGGCGTGAGGTGTCACGGCTATCCTCACGCAGGACGAGACATGTGAAAAAATTGAACGTGTCAAGTTTCCTATGCTTTATGCCTGTTTAGTAAGCATGGGGTCAGGGCTTTGTCAAGGGCATGATGGAGCAAATGGTTCAACATGAAGCCTGATGTCGCCAACATACCACAAAAAAACTGGAACTTGAGACGTTGGTGCATTGTGCGAACCAAATTCTCGTTAGAGTTCCTTCCTCGGTTGGGTTGAGCCGTGATTCCTCAACCCCCTGATCCCAAAATCAGCCCAGTTACCCCCATTCACAAGTCCTCAGCAGCTTTGGCGTTGGTGTCAATAAGGTCACAAACACCTTCGGCAGCTTCCACAATAAGCGAATCATTAAAAACTCACAATCTGCCTGACAATGATTTCATTTCTATGGCAAAGTGAACCAAACCACTTGGGAGGTGTGCTTCAAGTACTTCAAGTTTGAGCCGGGTGACGTTCCCAGGGGTTGGCACCAGGCTTCATTGCCTTCGGCAGCTACGCGCGAAGTCTCAAACCATGCGATGAATCGGCAAAATGTAAGCAATCTTACCACTGCCTAGGGCTTGAAAGGAGCTTTGGTCAGAGCTTGTGTTTGAGCTTACAAAATGTAGCGTGTTGCTCCACCAATGGCCTTCTGTTCTCCAGTCTAGTCCTGTGACTGTCAACATTTGTCAGCTCGTGTATGGCAGTCCCACAGGTCATGTGCATTAATAAAATATTTGGCAGTTGCATGAAGAAAACATGCGAACACTTGATATCCACCTATCCCATGGAATGTCACGCCTCACCCCTGGCTTTCTCGGAAGTCTCCTCATCTTTGCGATTGGTGTCCTCGGAAGAGAAAAATATGTTTTCCCGTTTGCCTCAAAGCTCTTGGAGGCAGAAAACTCAGCATACTGACCACATTAGATGCTGACTGTTGATCTAGCGTATCTTCAGGCTCCATTATCTTTCATGTTTGGTCTGTGTATCTCCTCCAAGTGGGATCCCGTGAAACAGACCCCTAGGACATATCGCTTCTGACAAGTTGATCATTCTTCAACATTTGGCCCTTTTCACCAGCTTCCATTCCTCACACAAGGGCACTCACCTGTTGAATTGTTGTGTGTTCCAGTTTTTATGCATGTGGTCTGTTCTTGTGTTTGGCACGAAGATAAACACTGTATTTAAGTGAGCCAAGCAATGGAGCCATGCAAGATACAACATTGTGGGTGTCCAAGAGAGGTGCCATTCGCTTCTTCCTGGAGTCCAAGCGTTCCTGGCTCAGGCTGAATGACAAAGGTGCTCTTTGGCATTGGGTGTCAGGGAAGCTAGTGCCAATCAAAAACATCCGTTCTTCCTCCACTAGCATCCCCTCTTGAAAAGATACAACAAAAACATTATACCGGCATAGACCCCAGATAGCGCCCTGTATAAACGCGTTATCGTTGTTTTACTGTTATCGTTTCTGGGCCGGCAATGCAAAAGTAGTGTTAAGGTGCATGCCAATACTAAACTGCTGAGCACGGGGTTATTTCAACAGCCCAAGTGTGCAAGTGGGCGCATGTGGTCATGTGCAAGCCTTTCAGAACGCCTGCGCGTTCTCACTAGAAGCGTGTGTTTCCTGCCGAAAGTAACGATGCTTAGTTTGCCACATAAAAGATGCAAGCGACACAAGGCACACCGCCCCACTCAAAAACCTAAATCACATAACAACGTCCACGTCAAAGGCAGGCAAGAAAATGACAAGGCGGCAGCGGCAGCCAAGAGCGAAATCATGAACAGAGACAAACTTGGGAGACAAGGCGGCAGCGGCAGCCAAGAGAAAAATCATGAAGGAAGACAAGATTGGGAGACAAGGCGGCAGCGGCAGCGAAAGTATGAAGAAAGACAAGCTTGGGAGACAAGGCGGCAGCGGCAGCGGCAGCCAAAAGCGAAATCATGAAGGGAGACAAGCTTGGGAGACAAGGCGGCAGCAGCAGCCAAGAGCGAAATCATGAAGGGAGACAAGCTTGGGAGACAAGGCGGCAGCGGCACCCAACAGCGAAATCATGAAGGGCTTTTTGGCTTTGTCTTCGTCTCTGTAATCTCAGAGCTACGGGGCTGACGTGATATGTTATCACGGAGGCTTCGTTCCTCACGCCGGGGGGACTGCAGTGCAGTCGTGACTGACATTCAAAATTCTCATCCTTCACAAAAATCAGGAGTCATCCTGACAACCCAAAACAAAAACTAGCTCTCTCAGGCATCTCAGAACTTATGGTTGCGGAGCACCAAGTCAGGCCGCCCAGTCATCTGCAGCGCTGTCAGCAGCAGGGCCGTCCGCAGAAGGCAGGCGATCGTCCGGCTCAGACTGAAGCCACTCTTCCAAGCCGCCAGGAGGAGCTTCCGGGTCAAATCCATAGGAAAGCCTTCACGATTCCTTGGTGCACCATAGATGGTGCTACGATGCTTCAATTCATGCTCATAGTAATCCTTAGCAACCGAAAAGTTCAGGATCGTCGGGCAGCTGTGTGTGGGCAAATGACCCAAGTTTCCTTGGATCACCGGAACTGCCCCGCAGAATAAACATGGAGACTCTGCAAAACGATGGTCCAGTCCAATCCATTCCTTGGTCCTGGTCATGGTCCAGCGTGCCTGAAAGTGCCGGAGAAACACATGTCGAACAAGTGCTTTGGTGCTCAGAAAAACCTGAGCACATGCACCGCAGTGAACTGCAAAATACCTCATCAACTCTTCTTTGGCCTCCATGGCCTGCCAGCTACATGTCTTCAGCAGGTTGACCAACTGCACCACTTTGGCATCATGATCTCTGACGTAGAAGCTGGGGGTGATGCTGCAAAATCTAGGGCATCTGATCAACCAAACACGAATCCAATCCGTCAAACGGGGCGGCTGGGACGTGGCATGGTGACATGACTCTATGTTGTCGTCGAACACGACCCACCCTTGTGTGGTCTTGCCCACACATTGAAGGTGACCAAATTGATCTTGCCCTCTATGCACTAATCCTGCTACAGGGGTGTACTCATACGCCTCAGTCACGAGTGAGTGTGCTTCCGACGAGATCAGAACATTGACGTTCGTGAGCTCAAGAGTCCATCCGGCCTTCTCGACATTGCCTTGCGTGTCAGGTCGAAAACGATCAATCTGAAAGCAAAGCAAGGGGCTGTCATGTTCAAAGGCCGTGATCATGCCGACATAGTCATGCCATTCATCGATCAAGGATTGCAAAGTGACTTTTTGGGACGCTGGGGCACTGGTGGCCAACGCAGGTGGCATGTAGGCACTTCCTCTATCCATGATACTGATCTGCTCTTGATGGCACATACGACGAGTCCACGAGCCCGTCAGGGCGGGTGGACGAAAAAATGCAAGGAAGGCTTTCAGAAACTCATGTGCATCATGTTGCCTCCCATCAATCCATGGAGCCTTCCAGCATTCCAGCTCGCTCACTTCAACCCAGAGAGAGCTGCGCCCACATAGTTCAATCAGGAGCTCGGCTGCCCCGCCAAGATCCGCCCATTTGCAGTGCTTCAAATGGATAAACCCCCAAAAGAAGGCCAGCATTGTGGCATGCACAAAACAGAGATTGTCCGGATTGATCAAGCGCAAGGCTTGCAAAGTTCCCTTCACTTCTTCTTGCTGTACCGGCCATTTGACATCCTGTCGTCCGGCTTGGACAACTTGACTAAGGAAGTGGCCAAGGGATTCTCCCTCTGGGTATGTGGTCTCACCCGCGCTTGAAGCACCAACCAAACCGAATTGTGCGCCAGGAGGTTCAGGATGTCCCAGATGGTGGATTCCCGAGTGGACAGGTGCAACAGAAAGGGGCAAATCTGTTGATGCTTGACCTCGGTCGATGTGTTCTTCAACGACTTGAATCTCAAGATGCGTTGATCCGCCATTGATGCTTCCACTAGGTCCTCCAGGTGTTTCTGGAGTTTGACCATATCGATGGGAGGCTTGGAGATGTGTTGAAGGCTCTTCGTCTCGCTGTTCCATTGAAGGAATGGCCACTTGCCATCCTGTGTGATGATCTGAGCCTTGACCGCATTCTCCCATTCCGTGCTGGCTTGAGAGAGTTTCGCAAAGGTCAGCATCCTGTCGAGCAGGGATTGGCATACCTGCTGAAATAGTACCAC